CCCGCATCGGGCTCCCTGCTCCGCGGGAAGCCTGCTGCTCCCTCTCCCTCTCCCCCTGCTTGTGTTCCCTCTCTTGCTGTGTCTCTGTCAAATAAATAAATCAAATCTTTAAAAAAAAAAAGGAAAGAAATCTGCTCATGGCGGGGGGTGGGCACATGATCACCTACCACACAGACAAGGAGAGTGAGCCTCATAACTGGGAAGAAAACAAGAGATTTAAGCTGGGGCTACTGGACATCAGCTGGCACCCCTCGCCCCTGCCCCTTAACAAATAGATGCCCACCAAGGGTGTCAGGCCCTCACTGGGGCTCCAGAGAGACAGGAGAGAGGGAGACAGAAGGGAGGAGAGAGCCTGCCCGCTGGAATCCAGCTCTGCCACAGGCTGGCCAGAGCAAGTGGCTCCCCCGTCTGAGCCTCAGGCTCTTCCACTGTGGAGCGGGATGAGTGCAACGCAGAAAAGCGTAGAAGCGCGCTCAGGCCTCCCTTGTCAGTGTTATTACCAATACCACTGTCTCAGGGCGGCTCCAATCTGCTCACCATTGGGGTAACCAGAGCCATAATCAGCATCCAGGTCCTGCAGTTTTTCCACAAAGTGCCAGTTCTTTACAGCCTGGTCACGGGCCACCTGTGGGCAAGATACAAACTTGCGATCTCCCTCCCTGGAAGCAGGCACGCCTGCCTCCTGCCCAGAGGGACGCTAGGCGCTGGCCACAGCCAGCAGGAGCCTAACCTTGGCACAGATACTGGCAGCGCTGACCACAGGGTAGAGGGCATCTGCCTTGGCCTTGACTGTCACCTCAATGCCGGGAAACTGCTCCTGCAGCCGCGCCTGGTAAGTGTCTGGTGGCCCCACAGTGTCCACAAATACCTGCACGGTGACAGAAACGTATTCATTCAGCAGACATCTGGAGAAACAACTGTGTAAGTGATCCAGCCTCCCAGCATTTACACACGCTATTCCTGTGCCTGGAATATTCTTCCCTTGGCTCATCCCTAGGGTGCAGCTTTCTCGGGCATCTCTGTCCAAAGTCCTCTCCAGGGGCACCTGGCTGGCTCAACTGGCAGAGCGTGCGACTCCTGATCTTGAGGTCATGGACTTGAGCCCCACACTGGGTGTAGAGATTACTAAAAAAAAAAAAAAAAGTCCCCTCCAAAAGAGGCTGTCCCTGATCAAGTTGAATCCATTCTACACTCACCGAGCACCTAAGCATACCATGGCTACACCAGATGCCAGGAATACGGCAGTAAACACACCAGACAAAAATCTCTGTCTTCCTGGAGTGGATACCCTGGTGAGGGCCACAGACAAGAAACAGGATAAATAATAAAGGACAGGGAAAAGTCGGGAGGGATTATTATTTTATTTCTTCTCTACTTGTTTTTTTTTTTTTT